GTTTGTTCTTTCAGTTTATTACAAGGAGGGAGCTCCCTCCTAATATGTAACTATAGAAGCAGCAGGGAGCAGTGCTCCCCACCACTTCTTAAGCCCCCAGGCCCCCCTCACTCTATGGGGGTCAATATGACCCCCATAATAGCATAAGGGAGATCAAAATCTCCCCAATGCCCTACTTGCTATACCGCGAGTAGGGGCATGTCCACTAAACAGTGGCTGCTCACTGTAAAAAACAAAAAAACTAAAAAAAAAACTATTGGCCCCCACCCCTAAACGACGGGTGGGGGCCCTAAAGTAAAATAAGGGAGGAGACCTATTGTCCCCCCCCAGCCCCCACGCCTGCGCGGCGGGTGGGGGCCATAATGATAATGAGGGGGGGGACCTACTGCCCCCCCAGCCCCACCCCTGGGCGGCGGGTGGGGGCCATATTGATAATGAGGGGGGAGGGACCTACTGCCCCCCCGGCCCCCACGACTGGGCGGCGGGTGGGGGCCATATTGATAATGAGGGGGGTCCTACTGCCCCCACCCCTGGGCGGAGGGTGGGGGCCATAATGATAATGAGGGGGGTCCTACTGCCCCCCCCCGGTCCCCACCTGGCCCCAACCCCTGCGCAGCGGGTGGGGGCCAATTTGATAATGAGGGGGGGACCTACTGCCCCCTTGGCCCCCACCCCTGGGCGGCGGGTGGGGACCATATTGATGAGGTGGGAGGGACCTACTGCCCCCCCAGCCCCCACGACTGGGCGGCGGGTGGGGGCCATATTGATAATGAGGGGGGAGGGACCTACTGCCCCTCCCGGCCCCCACCCCTGGGCGGCGGGTGGGGGCCATATTGATAATGAGGGGGAGGACCTACTGTCCTCCCACCCCCGGCCCCCACCCCTGGGCGGCGGCCCTAAGTCAATTCCCCCCCCCCCAAGGTTACTAGGGGTCCCCAAGTCCCTAGTCACCCACCCCCCTCACCCTAAAAAATAGTGAGGGGGGAATAAAATAACTAACCTGTAAAATAAAAGTAAACTTACCATTCGACGTCTTCTTTTTTCTCAAATCTTCATTTTTCAGCCCCAAAAAAGGGCAAATAAAAAACCATCATAACCGTCTAATTTAAAATAAAATAAAAATCCAGTGCGCAAAAAAAAAAAACAGTCGAAAAAGAAAAAATGGCTTGAAATCCATCCAATCACAGTGCTCTGTGTCATTTTACACAGCGTGGGAAAGTTCTTTGGAATTTTCCCACGCTGTGTAAAATGACAAAGAGCACTCTGATTGGCTTAAACCCACCAATCAGAGTGTTCTTAGTCTAATTGCAGGGCGGGGCAAGGCTTTATAAGGAAAAGGTAAGTTCGGCATGACAGTGCCGCTTTAATACTGCAAAGCTCACATGAGATTTAAAGGAAAATAATTTCTTGCAGCATGGTCAGCAGACTAAATACTAGAAACAAGCAAATTAGGATACAGATAGCCAGCATTTAAATAAAACAAGCAGCTTACAACATAAGCAACATCATAATACAATACAAGAACACTATAACAATTTATGAAATGTAATAACATTTGTATTATACATTTTTCAATCCGTGTCACAATTTATTTTTTTTTAACAATGAATTTTCCAGCATCCAGAAAACATTTATCTGTACACTGCTTATTTTTTATTTAAACATATATGAGAGTGTTTATGTTCCCGACTTGATGATTGTATGCTCGAAACATTGCAGAGTAAAGGAAATCTCCCCTACTGGTCATTCATATTACAGATGACGTAGTGTTATAACTGAACAACACGAACAAGTCCAGATCAATATTACAGAAAACAGAATTAGCGAAGAACCAGAACATTAGCAAATTTATAGGAATTGCCACAGCAAGCAAAGCTATGTAACGGGAAGACTTTACTCAGCTGGTTTTAATCTAGATTGTGAAAAATAAAAAAAAGTACTAACTTCAGCTCATCGATAATGCTCCATTGTCAAGTTGTCTCTATACGGATGACACTTGAACATGATAAGCATCTTTAGATGTTACAGTGGTATACAATATGTCATCATAGAACATTTCAAGTATTCATAAATAGATACCATGAGAAAACACCCAGGATGAAAACTGGCACAAATAACCAGTGATCTCAACGCTAGAGTATGGTGCAAAAACATCAGATAAGTCAATTGTTCACCTTGCATATATAAATATTTAAGGAGGATTCCAAAAATGTGTGTATGCATGCAGGGCCGGTGCAAGGATTTTTGCTGCCCTAGGCAAAAGTAAAGTTTGCCGCCCCCCCATGTGACATCCCAATTCCCCACCCATATGATCTGCCATGTTAACTAACGCCAGTGCTGCAGTGCCGCCGTGTTTACATTAAAAGGGACAGGCTAGACACATCAGAACCACTACATTAAGCTGCAGTGGTTCTGGGGACTATAGTGTTTCTTTAATGTGAGGTAAATTAGAGATTAGTGCCACGAATAATATACTAGATTGCCTACTTACAAACAGATGAGGATGATGATGGGCTCTAGCTGCAGTCCCTCTCTTTTCCCCCCCTCCCTTGTCCCTCTCTTCTCCCCTCCTCCCTTGTCCCTCTCTTCTCCCCTCCTCCCTTGTCCCTCTCTTCTCCTCCCCTCCCTTGTCCCTCTCTTCTCCTCCCCTCCCTTGTCCCTCTCTTCTCCTCCCCTCCTCCTTGTCCTCTTCTCCTCCCCTCCTCCCTTGTCCTCTCTTCTCCTCCCTCCTCCCTTGTCCCTCTCTTCTCCTCCCCTCCTCCCTTGTCCCTCTCTTCTCCTCCCTCCTCCTTGTCCCTCTCTTCTCCTCCCCTCCTCCTTGTCCCTCTCTTCTCTCCCCTCCTCCCCTTGTCCCTCTCTTCTCCTCCCCTCCTCCCTTGTCCCTCTCTTCTCCTCCCTCCTCCTTGTCCCTCTCTTCTCCTCCCCCCTCCTCCCTTGTCCTCTCTTCTCCTCCCCTCCTCCTTGTCCCTCTCTTCTCCTCCCCTCCTCCCTTGTCCCTCTTCTCCTCCCTCCTCCCCTTGTCCCTCTCTTCTCTCCCTCCTCCCTTGTCCCTCTCTTCTCTCCCCTCCTCCCTTGTCCCTCTCTTCTCCTCCCCTCCTCCTTGTCCCTCTCTTCCTCCCCTCCTCCCTTGTCCCTCTCTTCCTCCCTCCTCCTTGTCCCTCTTCTCCTCCCTCACTCCCTTGTCCCTCTCTTCTCCTCCCCTCCTCCCTTGTCCCTCTTCTCCTCCCCTCCTCCCCTTGTCCCTCTTCTCCTCCCTCCTCCCTTGTCCCTCTCTTCTCCCCTCCTCCCTTGTCCCTCTCTTCTCTCCTCCCCTCCCCTTGTCTTCTCCTCCTCCCCTCCCTTGTCCCTCTCTTCTCCTCCCTCCCCTTGTCCCTCTCTCCTCCCCTCCTCCCTTGTCCCTCTCTTCTCCTCCCCTCCTCCCTTGTCCCTCTCTTCTCCCCTCCTCCCTTGTCCTCTCTTCTCCCCTCCTCCCTTGTCCCTCTCTCCCCCCTCCCTTGTCCCTCTCTTCTCCCCTCCTCCCTTGTCCCTCTCTTCTCCCCTCCTCCCTTGTCCCTCTCTTCTCCCCTCCTCCCTTGTCCCTCTCTTCTCCTCCCCTCCCTTGTCCCTCTCTTCTCCTCCCCTCCCTTGTCCCTCTCTTCTCCTCCCTTGTCACTCATTCCCCCCCATCAATTTCTCCCCTCCTTGTCAATTTCTTTCAGTCAATTCCCCTGTCAATTTCTTCCCCCCTGTCCAATTTATTTCTCCTCCCCTAACTCTGTTGTAGCATGGCCGAGCTCTGTATGGTCCGCGGGTACAGGGAGCTTTTGTTTCCTGTACCCAGCCAGACTAAAAGGAAGTGCACACTCAGTGTTAGTCTGTCCGGGTACAGGAGACAGCTGCTCCCTGTACCTGCGGACCATACAGAGCTCGGCCACGCTACAGTGAGGGAGTGACAGGAGGGAGCGCTGAATGCTTCCCTCCTGTCAGCTCCTCTCCTCATGCTGCGCCCGGGCGGTGCGCCCTCATGGACGCAACAGCCCGGGCAAAGCTGCAGCCACCTGAGGCTCTCTACAGAGCGCTTGGGCGTTTGCAGCATGAGGGGGGGCGGCGCTCCTGGCTGCCTAGTCCGCCTAACAGGTAGCACCGGCCCTGTATACATGCATGGTATTCACCAATTATTTTGCTACACCTTTAGTCCTACAAGCATTTTGCATTTCTCTTTTCAAACAATTAATACGTTCGTGCATTCCTTTCGCATCTATGCCATTTGCTTTTCAGCTCTGTAAAAGCATGACCTGTATTTTTATTTACCAGGTAACGTAAAATAGTTAAGAAAAAATAGTTAGAAAGGTTTCATATTTACTGCTATTTTTTCTGTACATTTTAAAATCTGTCCTAAACAATATAAGATGAAAAAAAAGGCTAATGTCTGACCTTGAAATTTCTACTTCTGCAAATACTGCCCCTGACTTGCAACATAATGCATTAGTCTTAATGGCTCTGAAGGTTTGGGCAGATAATCAAAACTATACACTGTTTCGGATTCACCCACACAAATCACAATATGGGTCTGTGCAGCTGTGAGGGTTTAAAAGCTTTTCCTTGAGAAGGATGCGCTCAACTACATCAGGTTTGGTAGAGAAACCACTGATCGCAAAGCAACTCTCTCAACAATCTTTCAGAGCAAAAGAATTTCACATGTTTTCATAATAATATGCAAGCATCTGAGTTCCTGCAGTCTAATATAGGTATTATGTTCTTCGAGCGGAATGTTTACACACCTAAAGCTCCAGAGGGTTTTTAGAAATATTGCGCATGATTCAAGAAGCGCGTTTTATCACACAGTTATATATTTCAACATTTATTTAACAGCCTACACACTGCAAAAACAAGAAAAAAACAACAACATTATCTATATATCTATCCAATATGTATACAGCTCAGAAAGTCGAGAGCACACATAGCAAATCAGTTCCCAACCATGCAGCCAAGGGGAACTTCTTCAAGAGAGATGATGTGAAGGTTAATATCCTGGAGTTGCATGACAGAAAGGAAGAGAAGAATCATGGGAAGGTAAATAATTTGGCATTAAAAAAGGAAAGTTCAATCAAGTCAACATGAGGTATGTGGATTTATATGCTCTCCTACTTGCTGTATGACATATTCCCATACTTCAATAGCATTTACCAGAATGGAAATAAATATATAGGATGGGCACTGCTTTCAGAATTTTAATTTTGGTACCAGCGCTGTAGGTCATGAACCCTGCTTCAATGGACCCACAATACAAATAAATAAATAAAGAAATAGACTAATGCACTCTGTAATACCGGTAAAAAGGATTGTTTTTTTTTTCTTGGAATTTATAATAAATAGCAATGAGAGTGTTAATTCTTTAACCCCTTAAAGGACCACTATAGTGCCAGGAAAACACACTCATTTTCCTGGCACTATAGTGCCCTGAGGGTGCCCCCACCCTCAGGGTACCCCTCCCGCCCGGCTCTGGAAGGGGGAAAGGGGTAAAAACTTACCTTTTTCCAGCACTGGGCGGGGAGCTCTCTGCCCCCTCTCCTCCTCCGATCCGCCCCATCGGCTGAATGCGCACGCGCGGCAAGAGCTGCGTGCACTTTCAGCCGGTCGCATAGGAAAGCATTCATAATGCTTTCCTATGGACGCTTGCGTGCTCTCGCTGTGATTTTCACAGTGAGAAGCACGCAAGCGCCTCTAGCGGCTGTCAATGAGACAACTGCTAGAGGCTTCTCTGAAACTGCTATGTTTATAAAACAATGGGTTAACCCTAGAAGGACCTGGCACCCAGACCACTTCATTAAGCTGAAGTGGTCTGGGTGCCTAGAGTGGTCCTTTAAGGACCAAACTTCTGGAATAAAAAGGAATCATGACATGTCACACATGTCATGTGTCTTTAAGGGGTTAAAGGAACACCATAGTCACCAGAACAACTACAGCTTATTGAATTTGTTCTGGTGAGTAGAATCATTACCTTCAGGCTTTTTGCTGTAAACACTGTCTTTTCAGAGAAAATGCAGTGTTTATATTACAGCCTAGTGATAACTTCACTGGCCACTCCGCAGATGACTGTTGGAGATCCTTCCTGGGTCATGGCTCCCTAAAATGCATCCAAACATTCAGTATCTCCTCCCTTTGCATGCAGACACTGAACTTTCCTCATAGAGATTCATTGATTCAATTTGATTCAATCTGATTGGACAGGGCTGTGTGTAAATCATGCTGGCTCTGCCCCTGATCTGCCTCTTTGTCAGTCTCAGCCAGTCCTATGGGGAAGCACTGTGATTGGATCAGGCTACCACTTCTGATGATGTCAGCAGACAGCTTGTTTTTCTGAGGCAAACAGCATGCAGACCTTCAGCTGCAGGCTTAAATACAGTACGATTTTGCTATATTTATGGAGGCATGAGGGGCCCTGTGGGGCTAGAAGGTGGTTTTAAGACAATAGGGTGAGGAATACATGTTTGTGTTCCTGACCCTATAGTGATCCTTTAATTACATTACGGTCTATTCATTGCACCTGTTATTTGCACTTTATTGGTTTGTCAATATGATTTTTCACTGAAACTATAATGCTGTCATGGACTCAGGGTTGCAAGGTAGAGGTTCTGCTTGCTTTTGTAGGAATTTTACATGGGGCATTTGTTGTTTCATATTGTTTGAATTTCATGGACAAAATGGAACAGAGTGTTTGTTTGTTTTGGTGGGGCTAACTTAATTACAGCAAGAAAAAATAAGGGATTATAGGAAGAACTGGATGGGGAACAGTTTGCTCTGTTAATGACCCTATTGCACGGATATGACCCTCTGTGGGTATATACCTCTGCACAGCTGCAATAAAGTAAGTTCTGTCTAACCTCAACATATAGTCTCCACTCGATGGTGTAGGGTAAAGGATATAATCACTCCCTATGTTTCACTCCTGAATACTGCTCAGAGTACTTTGACATGGGCATTTGAGTGCTCCCAAACATCACAGAATACTTCAACTCAGCAAGGAGATAAAGGATGGTCCGAAAAAAGCCTAGAAAGACAATAAGTAACGGGGGTACTCAGCCCGAATACCCGCAGGCCGTTACAAATGCACTTTCTCTTATAGCTTAATAAAGACACACACCTTGTCAAAACATTGCCTGCCTGGTTGGGTGGCTGAATAAACCAATATTACAGCAACATAAAAAAAATAAATAAAAAAAACATACAATAACCAATAGGTGTGCGCTTCAAATAATAATATTAATTTGAGCCCAAAGTTTTGAAAAAGCAGAAAACATTTAAAATAAAATACATCATATAGTGCAAATTCAAAGTCCAAAATACTATGAATTGACAGACATACGCTAATAAAAGTGTACTTGTATCTTTAAGATGCTCAAATAAAAAATAAAAAAAATGTGAAAAAAGAACACGTCTATTTGTTCACAAATGATGCAATAAATAATAATAACCAAATGTAACAAAAGAACTTCCCATTTAAACATTACTATATATGTAAAAGACTAAGAAATGTTATTATTTGCAACAAAACATAATATCGAAACAAAGGACATGGAACCATGATCTGATGGTACAAGAAACGTACAAGAAACCAGAGTCCAGACTCGTCTCTGATACACATGCACAGAGCAAAGGAAGTTCCCCAATCAAAATAGAAAAAGCCAACACTTGGAACACCGTCCACATAATCCACCTCAGCGCTGTGGTCTCAATAACTGCCCCAATTGCCCATTCTGTACCTAGTGCTTTCTCCAGTCGATGGGGAGATCATGTTAATAAAGTCTTACTTACCTCAAAGTCCCCTTCCCCCTCACGTTTTCAATGAATGTAACCAAAGGTTCACTAACCATTTAAGCAATCCATTCATAGGGATAAATCAACTGCACAGAGACTTCTCTGGTCATAAAAAAAAGCAAAGAGATCATAAAATAATATGCATTTCTCCCAAAACAGTGTCTAATACCTATATGACAACATTGCATTTGCCAACATATATGGCACAAATATTGATGTGATACCCAAAACAGAAAATATATATCAAATCTATATAGAAAATAATTAAATACATGTGTATGTGTGTGTATATATATATATATATATATATATATATATATATATATATATATATATATATATATATATGCAAAGAGCTATACTGGGTTACTGCTGATTAATAAAGGCACAGCTCTTCTGAATATTGAATTAGACATGTGCAGTAGAGAAAACAATGTATGCCAAATCTTTCTCCTAACTATCCCTTCCAAAACACCAAGGCATAATAAAATAGAGATCAATAAAGTACTTGCTAGAACATGATGGAAATACAATGTTGGTACAATGTGATAATATCCTACCTTTCCATTCACAAAATCCATATGGCAATATTAATGATGTTTTCAACAAAATACAATACACTATCATGATACAAACTAAAACACGACAATATATATTAACAAATAACCTGTTAAAAAAAAAAAAACGGCACAGAAAAACCCCCAAAAATAAATCTATAAATGCCATGATGTAAAATACATGTCATGATAGAGAGTATGAAGAGAGGTCCCATGAATCATATGTGATGGACAAAAATATTATAAACCTACAACAGAAAATAAAAAAATCATAGGAAATGACAAAGCTCAATATCAGCATCGAGACCAGGGGTGCCCAAAAGGTAGAACCCCAGAACTACAACTCCCATGATGCTTTGCTTATCTTTAGAATGACACAGTATTATGGAATCTGTAGTTTTAAAACATCTGGGGAGCTACTTTATGGGCATCCCTGCTCTAGATAATGTTTCTAAAGTATAAATCCAGCGCATTTCTTGTTGACCGAATCTTATTTCGGAGTTCTCTCTTCTTCAGTGTTTAGTTCTCTCTATTCCAACAAACTAGATAACTAGGGTAACTATTCTGATTTTACCGGCACATTATGGTGAGGAAGCTCCATTTTAATATTCCTAACATGTTCCTCAACAAGTGTATAAAGTGGTCTAACATAACCACGGTGAAATAAAATCCACTTGGTCAATTTAAAAATGTCTCTTCTCTACGTCTTTGTTGGTTCTTTGTAATTTTTACTTAAAATCTATTTGCGATTCGTACTTCCTCTAAACGTGATTTTGGCAAAAGTCAGAATAACATTTACAATAGAATCATTGGATGATATAGTATGTTAGGGTTTTTCAATAATGAATTTTATAGTCCCACTATTACCTGAATGGTTGAAAATTAAAAGGACAAAATCCAGAGTATTCGGATTCTTGGTTTTATATCAAAGTAACCAAATCATGTTGAGCCATCCCTACATCATTCGAAAATACATTTCTGTATCCATGCAAAATGTGTTTAATTGTTACAATCTGCCTACACAATGTTGCAGTCTTATTCATTATTTACCAAGATGGACACATTATTAAACCAAAAATAGAAATGGCAAAATGACGTATTTATTAAAAAAACAAACAGTATGTGGAAGCCTTAATACCAATGTCTTTAACTACCTCAAGTAGAGTCTATTTAAAGGGGCACTTATGCAATCTAACATTCTTAAAAGCACTAAGTAATCTAATCTGTAATAAAGAGATGGCATGTCATTGTGTCCTTAACGAGGTCACATTGCGCTCTAGGTATAGTGAATAAGACAGAACATTTTGTATTCTTCATGGCAACAAGACACTTAATAGGAACATTGAGCCATAAAATTGTTCTCTTGGATTGAAAATTCAAGAAATCATTATTTTTTATTGATCCTGCTTGTTAAAGTGTGGAGGCACTGAAGTGAACACGTTTATCTGAATATACCTCAATGTGCATTAGTGCCGGTTATCACGAAGAGGAACGGCATACAATCATATTACCAATTTATTAGGAGCTAAGAAGCAATTATTTGCTTCTAACTGAACTTGTGTAACAATAACAAATGTCATATCTGAAAGCATGTCTGGGCGATCAATAGAGACTAAGAGACAAGAGAGTGGTCATATAGCAAGACCATTAGCCCTCAAAGAAATATATATATTTTTTTTTAAATCATTATTATCTTCTAATCGTCTACAGCCTCATCCATTATCTCCAAATTTACTAACTCCTCTTTTCCTTCTAACACATAAGTGTAGAGCAGACACAAGTGGTTCGAGAGTTCTACTTAATGAAATGATTTAGTAGTGACTGCTGAAAGTGGTAGACAAAAGGTTTTAGTTCACAGCTGAAGCTTCCAGAATTTGTACAAGATCCAAATCAAAAAACATGAAATCGGAAGTTGCACATCTAACATATCCATTTGTGCAGGATTGATATTACGACTATGCCCATTGACCACTGAGCCTGTGAATTACTGAAGTCAATAATGACAATGAATGTACCGGAGGGTACACAACATAAATATACATGAATTAATAGTGAGAGGTGCCCAGGGCAAAACCAATACTAAACAATAAAACACAGGAGCACCCTGGAGGGTTGAAACATTGATGTAAAGCTCTGAACTGTTTGAATACACTTTTGAAAAACCGAGAGAGTGGTCCTGTCCTTAATTTGTTTATACTTTGCATGGAAGCACCCGGATACTTTTTGCTTTATTATTTTTGTCGGGGTTGAGTGCCAGAACCTGGAATATATACATATACATACATACATACATATATATAAAAAAAATAGAAATTAATTCCTGCACTCACGCTGAATTTCCCTTCACGACCGGGTGCCAACCATATATAGCCAAAAAATATACATTAATGGTTGCACTCACGGTTTTTCCAATTAAAAGTCCAAAGTTTATTGTCAATTCATAAAAGCTGCGATCAACGTTTCAGTCCTACCAAGAGGACTTTCATCAGGATCATAAAAACCTTTATGATCCTGATGAAAGTCCTCTTGGTAGGACTGAAACGTTGATCGCAGCTTTTATGAATTGACAATAAACTTTGGACTTTTAATTGGAAAAACCGTGAGTGCAACCATTAATGTATATTTTTTACATACATACATACATATATATATATATATATATATATATATATACACACACACACACACACACACACACACTCACAGATACATACACACACACACACTTGATTAAAAATCAAAAATACATAGTATTGACTTTAGATCATATGCCAAAATACAAAAATGTATAGATGTATCTTACGCAAAAGCACGGACTGCTACAATATACATCAGAGTAATTAAAGCATTATACAGTACGGTTCTTAGAAAGTACAAGGATATATTGATCTACATACCAGTCATTTAGGTCACAACAATGAAGTGAAAGAAGAAAATTATAACCGACAGGTATGCACTTCAAATGAATTGTTGTACTTTCATCTAACTATTCTGTAGAATACTTTATTAATTACTTTGATGTATATTACAGCCGTTTGTACTTTTCAACAAGGTGTGTGTTTATTTTTTATTTTTTTTTGGATTTTTGTTACCAGTGAGAGTACTTCTGTTTTATGAATTTCCAATAAGTTTTTTGTTTTTTCTATATAGTTAAGTCAAACCTTCTTATAAACGGATCCTACACGTAGTCTTACACAACTGGGGAGAGATTTCTAAAAGTGCTGTGATAAGTGGTACAAAGTTTTAAAGAGTGTGGCAATCACCATGGAAACCAACAGTATCACTATACAATTTATATTCATTTGACCCCCATGGTGCCTGCCATACATTCATATGGCAAGTTGGAAGTAATGCCCAGGTTTGTATTTACTTACGGCATTTTCGGAAGAGATGCTGAGACTAATTACATTGCCCTTCAATAGCTTTTACTAAAGTGAAAAAATTAGGGGATGTCGACAGTTCCTCCATAAAAGAAATAATGCAGGGAACAAATGATTTTTTTGCTGCTCAAAACAAGGTTCATTCTTGACATCTATGATGTATCAATTATTATATTCCTGTGTTAGTGGATTCTAAATTGCAGATAGCTTTGGACCCTCTGTAGCTAAAAATATATTAGTTTTGTGTCCTAGAACAGATAGAGTTAAAGAAAAAAAAATGAAATGAAATTTGCAGGAGAGAGCCATATTCCCAGCAAGTTTAGCACAAAACACATTCCATGTGGCAGCTACAATCATTCAGCCCTCGCTTGTACCATGAGCGCAGCTAGTTTTGTGGAATTTGGATATGTGTCTGGTAGCCTTGAAGAGGAAAGTGACAAATTGCAAGTCACACAGCGCAGAAGACAAAGTCATTGCACTTTGCTAAGAGATGTAATTCATAATTCAAGACTATCGCTGGCTACTTTCGAATATGATTTTTTTTTTTTTTTTTTTTAAACATGGGCAGTTTGCCCAGCAAATAATTAGACCCACGTGGTTATCCTGTGCTTTTTATTTGATGTTTCACTGTTAAAGACGCAGTCCCATTAATCGATACAAAAGAGGCCAAATTCCTCTGTGAACTTAAAACTAATAATTGTACAGCATATCGAGGGCTCAAAGACTCATTCCGCCCCATGCTTTAATTCACATTTCATGATCTTTTGGAATAAGAATTGATTTGTTTTCTGTTAGCTTTTCTGACATTTCTGCATACCAGTGTGTTTTTACGAGCTCATTCTTACAGTAATTCTCATGTTGCATGTGTCAAGGTAAGGACATCAAACACGTGGAATTTATTTTTGGCTTGGATAGTTACCTTTCGATTGAATTAAAACTGAGCTACAAATAGGTATCAGCAACCAAATGCTGACAACAGATGTGCTGTAAACTGCAACACAAATCATGCCATGACTTTTTTTTTTTTTTTAGTTCTAGTCTGGAATTATTCTGTTGCATAGGTTCCTGCAAGGAGTGAAACTATTTTGTTCCTTTAGCTAAAACTATTTTAAACCATCTCCAGTGTAATCCTTTCCAGAGTTACGCACAGGCAATGCCACTACACCAGTGAGATTATTAAAATGATTCATTTATTTTATTTTTATGTTTTTATTTATGTTAGATAATGGCAAATTCTTTTGGAATAAAATTTACACAATTGGTGTGGATTTCCTCCAAACACTTCTCAGATTGCTGCCATTTTCAATTGTAAAAATTGTCAAAAATGTCAGACAAGGATTGATGAGAGGTAGCTGCATTTGGTAGCTCCAGCTATTACTACAAACCTCCCTCTGATACATGCGGTCGAGGGAGAGCAAGTTCCTGACCTGATCTGGATAATCTGGGGTCATAAAGATCACCATTCGGTAGTGTTTCTGAGTGAGGGCTTTTGCATTATTCTCTTTATCCAGAAGGGGACACATTTTGGATATTTGATACACGGGGCTCCTGTGTACCTCAATCCATATATTTCATTTTTTGAATGGAGAGATCTGTTCATAGACTGCTTAGTTTACAATAATTGTTTCAGTTTATTGGTGAAATATTAGAAAGGTTTTAGTTTGATGTTGGCTATGCCATGTGTTGTTTGGAACAGTGTTCCCCAACCCAATCCTCATGGACCACCAACAGTCCAGATTTTGTCAGTATCTCCATTGGAATAAAACAGGGATACACATAAATCCTGGACTGTTGGTGGACTGGTCCAGGAGGACTGGGTTTAGAATACAACAGAAGAGCCTCGGACAGACAGAAAACATACTTTATAGCATGAGGTACTTTAAATGTCTCCTAAAATGGAAAAAAATTAAATGATTTGAAGAAAAAAAAAATATAAATAAATTAGTTGGAAATGGGAAAAAATGTTCCGGATACTTTACCATTTATTATCTTTTGGGAGAAAACTGAAGCAAGAGATAAAGTACGGTAGAAAGAAGTCTGGACACAATCATATACAATGCCCTTTGAAATACAGATGCCTAGTTTTACTAGGCATCTGTGCTTACTTTGGGAAGCCAAAATATATATGCGTAACCACAAAATTTTTTATTCCTCTAGAATCTCCATTCTACACAATTAAAGATAATATAAAAAATTACAAATAACCTTAAGCAAACTATTTCATCTGTTTGTCACAATTTCTGTGCATTTTAAAAAATGTATTATTGCCAATATCCTATATCTAGTGTGTAGTTGATTTGTGCACAGCAGCAAAATTTGGTTTGGCCACACCATTTTTCTCAGAATAAATTGTTTTCATGATAGCGAATTTCAATCATATACCCATCCAGCTTGGCAGAATATCAGTAATGAAAAACCGATTTTAAAAATAATATCAGATGAACTAAAAGGATGCAAAAATAGGCCAGAGTTCTGCAAAATATAAAATATAAGTATAATTTATATACTTATTAAGTATAAACTACATAATCTCTAAAAGGTTATGCTCCTCTGAATAAAAAAAAAGTTATGAAAATTCTGTACAATTACATAATTACATTGTTTTTTATCTCTTTGAGAAGCATATAAATGCATTAAAATTGCTCCTCTTATTTAATATACATATATGTACCATAAAGTTAAGTTTATAGTGATCTGCTTAACAGCACTAACATTTCTGTTTAAAACTTTGTTTTTAATGTATTTTCGTGATTCACTTTCAGATATTTTTGGAATCTTCTACAAGCTCTTAAAGATAACCATTGATCGGAAGCTAGCAGGTGGCATCCAATTTAACCTCTTCAAACCAGGGGTGCGTGAACATCAGAGATAAAAAGCATTTTTCCTACCTGTACAGCTAAATGAATTGCTCAGGTAGTGGTTGCTAAAAGCCTCTTACTTCATAATTTTTTTTTTCCCAAAACACGTCTATTTTTGACCATCTAAAAATGGTTCCTGGTTGTGACACTGCAGGAAGTCCTCATACAAAGGCTCTGCAAATCAGTTTTAAATTCCAATAAAATAGAGAGCATGTAATATTTCTTTCTGGTCATTTCATTTTTATGTAATTTATGACATTTTCAGGGAACATGAAAGAACCTTTACTGATGAAAGATATGTTTGACAGGTGCAAGACACTGTCCAAGGAAGGGAAACTTTAATCATTTATTCTTTAAACATTTTTCTGTTCAAAGATGTGATCTGAAATGTAAAGATCTTTATCTGCCCCCGGGCATAGAGGGTAACAGCCAAGGCTCCAGGGGGATTTGCAGAGTCAAACAATATCAAGTGATAGTTGAAGCAGCATTAATGTGGAAGAATCACAAATCTATCTTCCAAAATAAGTATTTTTTTTTTCCAAATATATTTTATTAGAGAGGTTTATTTTCATATATTATAATAAACAATGAATAGTAACAGGTACAATAAAAAAATATTAATTGGATGGGAAAACTGGGAGAAAAGGGCTATCCATTCATATATATATTTCCTGAGGAAAGTCCCCAACCGGGACTGAAACATTGACTCTATTCAGCATCACATTTGTATATTTTTTATGCAAAGATTAAAAGCCAAGTTTTAAGAAGATCGTGAGTGCGGACCATCATTTTGATTTTTGAATACTGGTGACCTCGGTCTGGCACCCGGCGTTCAAGGCAACACTATAATTTAGCCAGTGTGCAAGGAAATTTTGGAGATATATATATATATATATATATATATATATATATAATTTGTCCACCTTCTCATGTTTCTTTTTCCTGATGTTATTGTCACTGGGTATTGCCACATCCACCGCGACTGCAGTCTTTCGTACCTTGTCTACCACCACAATATCTGGTTGCTTGTCTGTCTGGATCTTGAAGTCCCACAGGATCTTTGTGGTATCTCCCATTTGGACTTAGGCACGTCCAATCCATATTCTGTGCAGATGTTTCAGTACACAATCCCAGCAACTTGGTTGTGTCTCTCCGTGTATGCTTTTCCTACGAACATCTTGCATCCAGCTACTAGGTGCTGGACTGTCTCAGTGGCCTCTTTGCACAGTCTGCACCTTGGGTCTTGCCTGGTGTGGTAAATTCCATCTTATATTGATCTGGTGCGGAGTGCCTGCTCCTATGCTGCTAGGATTAGTGCCTTGGTGTTGCCTTTCAGTCCTGCTTTTTCCAGCCACTGGTAGGATTTTGTCATATGAGCCACATCCACTATCTGTCGGTTGTACACCGCATGGAGAGGTTTGTCTTGCCAAGCAACCTCCTCTTTTTCTACATCCTCGATCTGTGGAAGTATCAGGCATTCCCTTAGCAGTTCGTCTTTGGGAGCCATCTTTGTGATGTACTTGTAGATGCTCTGTGTTTCATTCAGGACTGTGGCCTTGACACTCATCAGGCCCCCACCTCCTTCCTTCTGGCAGGTGTACAGTCTCTGGGTGCTGGATTTTGGGTGGAATACTCCATTCATAATGAGAAGTTTCCTGGTTTTGACATCCATGGTGATCAGTTCTTCTCTTGGCCAAGTTATTATTCTAGCTGGGTACCTGATGACCGGTAGGGCATACGTGTTGATGGCTTGGATCTTGTTCTTGCCATTGAGCTAGGTACTTGGACATTGCTATCCTCCTTGCCTCTTCCTCATGGTTGCCAAGTGTTTGTAATACCCCCAGGTACTTGTAGCTGTTCTCTTCATCTTCTATTTGGCCTTCTGGAACTTCAGCTCCTTCTGTCCTGATCAACATCCATCTTTTTGCGATCATCCGCCCGCACTTCTCTATTCCGAAACGACATTCCCATGTCCTTGCTGTATATCTTAGTTAGGTGGATCAGTGAGTCAATGTCTCACTCATTCTTGGCATACAGCTTGATGTCATCCATGTAGAGTAGGTGGCTGAACCTGTATCCATATCCACTCTCCTTAAGATCTGGCTAAGGGGGTTGAGGCCTATGCAGAACAACATTGGGGATAGCGCATCACCTTGGTATATGCCAAATTTAATGTTCACTTGAGTTATTGTCCTGTAATTGGCTTCTAGAGTTGTTTTCCACTTGCCCATCGAGCTCTTGATGAAGGCTATTGCTGTCTTGCTGACCTTGTAGAGAGCCAAGCATTCCAGTATCCATGTGTGTAGCATTGTGTCATGGGGTTTCTTGTAGTCAATCCAAGCTGTACACAGGTCTGTCTGGTCTTAGAATCCCTTGTGACTGCTTGGTCTACCAGTAGTTGGTGTTTAGATCCTCTGGTGTTGTTTCCAATGCCCTTCTGAGTATTGCTCATATATTGACTCATATGCAGGTTATTGGTCGGTAGTTGGACTGTTCCCTTGTGAGGGTCCTTCATGACCAGTATTGTTCTGCCTTGTGTTAGCCAGTCAGAGTTCCTGTTCTGGCAGCATACAGTGGTCTGCTTTCAGGTCTAGTTGCCACTGGGCCTCAGAGTTATGAGATGCTTCTTTCTCCCAGATATTTTTACGGTACGGTTAAGTCTCAGCTCTGGGTGGGTCTTACGAGGAGATGTGGTGGTTACCCTGTAGTTGTGCATACACCTTGAATGGTTCTTTGGTAAAGAGGACATTGATACTCAGCCTCTGCTTCTCTGGTGTTTCTGCTCAGTTTGGTTGCCAGTGCTGTCAGTCTTTGCTTAGCCATTTCCAGCGCCTCTGGTATGGGCATATCCTTGTACTTCCGCAGCAGCCAGGATCTATCTTTGATCTTTACACCTCTGTTAAGTTGATCCAGCTTACTAACTGCCTTCTGTGCGTTCTTTATCTTTGCTTCCAGTCGTAGTCTCCATGGTGTGCAGTGCTTCTCTTTGAGCCTGATCTGGTAGTCAAGTAGCTGGAGGACCACTAATGCTGTGGCATATTTGAACCTGTCCGTTTCTGTGATGGCGCTGGATGGGATTGTGGACAATGCTTCATTAACTGCAGCTAGTATGGGGTCTGGTGGTTGCTTTCTAGTGATCTTTGGTAGTTTTGTACGCAGGTTAACGACTGCTAGTTTTTCAAGGATCATTTCCCTTATATCTGTTGTTATGCCATCTTGGGGTATGGATTCAGGTTGACAATTCTCTGCAGGTAAGAATGTGGGTATGGGAATTTCTTCTGTAGTCCATTTATTTCCAGTAGTGACACTAGATTTCTCTTGAAGATTTTCAAACGTTGTGTAACAAGCGGTTTTGGTGTTAGGGTAGATGATGGTCTCTTATTCATCCATAACTCCCACACACGTTGCATGTAGCCTCTCTCATTGGGTCTGCTGTTGTAGTAGCATTCAAGCAGGTCTAGGTTCTGGACAAAAACCAAGGACTGAAAGAAGAACTAGAAAGGATGTGGAAAGTGAAGGCAGTAGCAGTCCCAATTGTGATAGAAGCACTCTGGGCCACTCTGTGGCTTTAACAGATTCCAGGTGGGACATCTGAGATCGCTGTCCAGAAGAGTGCAGTTCTAGGAACAGCTAAGATACTGCGCAGAACCCTCAAACTTCCAGGCCTCTGGTAGAGGATCCGAGAATGAGGAATAAACATATCACTCAGGATAGACAGATAGAGATACACACACTCAGGTTATGGTGGGGAAAATTGTGATTGAAAACCCCTTCCACCTAAAGTCTGTGGATAGTTAACACAATGTTAAACAAAATACTTGCTTTTCCCACAGAAATCACAAATCTGCAGTGATATTACTACCGCAAAAGATTCTGGGTGGCAAATGCAAATCAGTTTAACAAAGAATCACATTTTTGCCTCATTCCATTTTAAACCTGGATTCCTTTGAGTCTGTGTTTGCTGTATACAACAGCTTTGAAACACAACTTGGGAAAAGATGCAAAGCCATGGACAGCTCATGGACAGCTATTTCATTGTTAATGCAAATCATCAGTATGAGGCTGGTTACTGGTTTGCTTATTGAGGCTTGGTAGTGCTTGGGAAGCAAAATCCAAATAGGTTATGGTGGGGAAAAATTGTGATTGAAAACCCCTTCTACCTAAAATAAATATATATATATATATATATATATATATATATATATATATATATATATATATATATATATATATATATATATATATATATATATATTTTCTTATTTTTTTATTTATTTATTTTTTAGGTATATATCTGTACTTCAAATAAAAAAATAAAACATTACTTTAAATTATATAATTTCTTCCCATGTATTCCAGTAGTATAATAACATCTAATAAGGGGTATAGTTGTCTTATCGCCAATTCATATGTCTTATTCTCTAGTGTCAGGTTCAGGATTTCTTTAATTGATGGTAATTTGGGAGATTTCCAGTATCGGGGTAGTGAACAAGTGGCAGCAATTAAAATATGTTCTATAATTATTTTGTCGATTTTATTTGCGAGGAAGCTTTTTAAACAAGCCTAATTCTGTCATAAAATAAGTCAAAGAAGGGTTTTGGATTAATGCATGTTTATTTCTCCAAAATGTTTTTAATTTGGGACAGAACCACCATATATGGGACATATTTCCAATATTTCCACATTCTCTCCATTATTTATCAGGTATATTTGGGTTCATGTTAGGTAGTTTTGCTGGAACTAAATACCATCTATAGAGGAGTTTAAAATGATTTTCAAAATAATTTGTGCATTGTGTTATACATTTTACATTTAGAGTTAAACTGAGACAATCATCTTAATCATATTGACTGCCTAATTCTGACTCCCATGATTTCTAATGATTCATCTCCTATATCCAAATCACTTATTGTAGCGGACCACGGGTAACCCGACTGGTTACCTCTGATAATACCTTCTTTTAGCCACTCTAGAACAATCAGCACAAGTAAATACCCATTCCCCCAGTAACCAAACGAAATATAGTCCTGGTAGTCAACCTAGGTTTATTTGGTCACACAAGGCTTTTATGGAGAGACCCCCTACATGGGGTC